AAGACTCACAAAAGTAAAAACTCGGGAGGAGCAATAATTTCTTACTTTTAAAATTTGGTGACGTCACGTGAAAACCGAGAGTACATTGAATCAAAAGAGCACCGCATTTCCCAGCAGTGGGAAATTGTGAGCAAATTAACCATTAGCCATGATACAGAGCGAAACTATATTACTGTAGTAACTATCAAGACATTTAGTCCCCTTGAATTTGTTCATTTATCGAGTATCATATCTGTTAACCAACTGATAATGGTAAATAGAGCTCAGTTCTAATATAATTATATTACTTTTTTTTCCTTTTCTCCCAGGGCCGGGGAAGGGCAACTCTAGAACAAAGAGATAGTAGCACCCAGGCCCCCTCTCCCTCCCCTTCCCACCACCCGTTCATTCAAATTTCAGAGACATCTTTTATTTCATGTCGATGATGTGAAAACAGTAAAAAAACAACAACAACAAGCTTTTAACACCACTTATGCACTTTAATACAAATAGACTAAAACACTGTACTGCACATACCAACACTGGGACATAACAGGTGGCAGTAATTTTCACCAGTCCTCTGAAGAGAGGTAAAAAAATGCTTCTTTTGTAGTCCTCTTTTGTGGTTTAAATAGCCATTATGAAAACTCTTCCCCGCTAAAAAGGCGCTAGGCCAAAAAAACGGTGCTAGTCTTAAAACCAACTCCAGTTTCTTGGCGCAAAATGATCATTTGAAGCCGAAATTGTCCCTATGATGTCTTTTTGTGAAGAAACGAGAACGGTGATTCCCCTTTTATTATTAGTGTTTTAAATCGTTGTGGCTACAAGAAAAATATATTTTAAGGAAAAAAGTCTGGATAGTAGAAGCTGTATCATTATTTTGATCTGAGACTCGTGAAACTTTGTGGCATTTAGAGCTACAGAGAAGTACGTCAAAATGCCCGTTTCTCCTACATTTGTTTGCGAAATCGGGTAATTTGAGGTTACTTTATTGAAAAATTAGAGCTCAGACGAACAAGCGGGCTCTAGGTTTTAGATAGACTTAGCTACAAGTCGAGCTCAAATTTGTTCACGAGCGCGAAGCGCGAGCGGTAGATTTTTCATGTTTTCTGGGGCAAAAGCATGGATAATAGCGAGCGAGATTCAGAGAGCTTCGGGCTGGGTCCGGAAATGAGAAGCAAAGGACTTTGAAAAAGTCTAGGTTTTAGACAGATTTGCAGTTTTTACGAAATAACCTGAATTTTTGGCGGTTTTTTTCAAGTTACGTTGTAAAACGCGTGTTGAACATGAGCCTTTTTTTTTTTGTTGTTGTTGTTGTCAATCTTAATTACCGTCGCAGTTTAAAAACAAGCACGGTGACCCCATCGTTTCATAGCACCAAAAGAATTACACTATAAGATAAATAGCTATTAGGGCAACCCCAATAAAAGGAGTTTAAGCGACTGGTCAACTGATAGCTCAGGCTTTTTTAAAGAGACTTGATATGAATTTTTGGTGGTTGTTCATGTTTCGAACATTTTGCGCGCAACTAGGAGAAAAAACGCTAGCTCATAGAACTAGCACCCTTAGAACTGGCACGCGTGGAGAAAACAAGCACGGGTGACCTCATTTTTTTTTTCCAGTTTTTATATATTCAATATCCTACAATAATATGGCACTTCAAGAATTACGCTATAAGATGGATAGTTATTAGGGCAACCCCAGTTAAAAGAGTATAAGCGACTGGCGAACACAGGTCGTCAATGAGTTAGAGAACTCCAACTATTTAGCTTTAAATGTGGCAACGTTCTGTAATTGTATAATTTTTGTACTGTGAACAAACATCTGTTTTTAAAGCAACCATTCAGTTAACGCGTCCGTAAGATGTAGAAGCCTAAATGTGTTGAGTGCGTTTACAACTTACTCTGGTGTTCTCTTAACTAAAAGCGACGTCAGAATACCATAAATTTTTAAAATAGTTGTTTATTATAAGCGTCATTTTATACAACACTTATCACGTCCTTAGAGATGAAGCCGCATGTCAGTAAGATACACGTTTTAGAATGCCATTTTTTAGTGAACATTACATGATGTCCTTAAATCCTTACTTACATTCACCTATCTCAGGGTCTAAAAGGGGATACTCGGAATCAGGTATTTGACCAAAATACATGCAATGCGTAGATTCTGGCAAACATTAAGACATTAAATATTTTATAAGCCATTAGTGAATTATTTGCACTGTAAAGTAGCAATACGTGTTCACCTGTCAAACAGTTAACAGGCTCTTGATGATCGAATCTAGTAGTATAGATTACTCTCCTTTTCAGCCATCTGCAGGTTTCGCTTAACACTTTACCTTGTTCCCGAAACCGAGCGGAAGAAATAACCCGTGGAATATTACTTGCCCTGAAACATCGCTGAAAACACCATCGACAGCAATCCAGAAGGTCAGTAATCTAGTAATCTTGAAAATTGCAACGCAGTTTCCAAATGGAAAAGGAGAAATAAAATGGTCGGGCTTCAATGAATTAAAGGAACCTATTCAGTTTATCAAACATGTAGACAAAAAAGAAGTCACAGAATGCGCAAATTATAAGAGAAAGTAAAGTAAAAGTTGTTCCTATTCAGGATATCAGCCATCACTGAACTTTCCATAAACATGTTACCAAAGTGACTTGTCCAACAAACTTTCTTAAGGGCAACTACAACTCCTTTATGCTTTGTCTTTATCTCTGCTAAACACAGATGACGCTGCTTCAAAAATTTTGGCCGAGTAAACCAAGCCGAAATTGTCCCTTTGATGTCTTTTTGCGAAGAAACGAGAACGGCCGGAGCCCCCCTTTTTTATTGGTGTTTTATACTCGTTGTGGCTAAAAGAAAAATATATTTTCAGGAGAAACAAACCGGGCAATAGATATTTTATTATTTTGATCTGAATGATGTGAGACTTCGCATTTGGAGCCACATCACTTTACTGGAAAATGTTTGATAGCTCAGTCTTTTTTAATTAAGAAGACTTAATATAAATTTTAGGTGGTTGTTCAAGTTTCGAACATTATGCGCGCAACTAGGAGAAAAAACGCTAGCGCCTAGAACTACTGGCTCTCGTGGAGGTAACAAGCACGGGTGACCTTATCTTTTTTTTTTTCCAGTTTTTATACAGTCAATATCCTATAATAATATGGCACTACAAGAATTACAGTATGAGATAAATAGCTATTAGGGAAAGCCTTACTAAAACAGTTTATAAGCGACTGGCGAACCACAGACCGTCACTGGGTCAGAGAATCTGGCTGTTTGGCTTTAAATGTGGCAACGTTCTGTAATTGCAGAATGTTTCTGTTTTATGTAACATTAACTTCAGTTAACACGTCCGTAAGATGCAGAAGCCCAAATGTGTTCAGTGCGTTTACAACTTCCTCTGGTGTTCTCTTTCTTAAAAGTAACGTCATTGAGATAAATTTTTAAAATCGTTTTTTATTACGGGTCATTTTATGCAACACTTTCACGTCCGTGAAGATCAAGTCGAGTTTCAGTAAGATACACGCTTTAAAATACCTTTTTAATGAAAGTCATTTCCTTCATTACCTACATTCACATATGAGATCTCAGCGCAAAAGGGTATTCTCGGAATCAGGGGTTTGACCAAAATACATGCTGTGAGAGATTCTCGCAAAACATTAAAACAATAAATATTTTATAAGCCATTAGTGAATTATTTGCACTGTAAAGTAGCAATACGTGTTTCACCTGTCAAACAGCTAACAATTCCTCTCCATTTCAGCCACCTGTAAGCTAGAAGGCTCACTTAAAAATTTACCTTGTTCCTAAAAGCGAGGGCAAGAAATATCCCCGTGGAATATTAACCTGAAAATCGCGGACAACGCCATCGACAGCAATCCAGAAAGTCAGTAATCTAGTAATCTTCAAAACTGCAACAGAACTTCCAAATTTTTTTTGACACGCAAATTGTTCTCATGCGGCAAAGGAGAAATAGAATGGTCGGGCATATTCTGATGAATCAAGGAACCTGTTCAGTTCATCAAACAAACAAAAAGAAGTCACTGAATGCGCAAATAAAAAGAGAAAGTCAAGTAAAAGTTGCTCCTATTAAAGATATCATCAATGAACTTTTCATAAAAATGTTACCAAAGTGACTTGCCAAATAACTTTCTTAAGGACAATTCCAACTCCTTTATGCTTTGCTCTGATTTCTGCTAAACACAGTCCCATGATGCTGCTTACAAAATATTTATGAGTAAACCAAACCTTCTCTAACATGAAGCTTTCCGCTAATCAGCTGGTTTGCTTTGGGTTCTAGCCATAACAATCTCGGTTTCTTTTCCCTAAGAATATCATCCTTTTGTGACTAGAAAAGGTTATTATCATGACAATATGTGGAACTGACAGGTACGAAGGAGGAAAAGGATAGAGTAAGGAGTGAGATAAATAATCAGAATAGAACGAAAATAATAATCAAAAGGGCAAGTATCGCGATAAATAGGACGCACTGTGATCGTTTTTATTTGTGTAGGGGAAGGTTTTTCTCGGGTCGTGGAATTCGAAAGGACAAGTTTAATAGAAAGAAGGCAGTGACGAAAGACGACACTAAAAACACCCATTTCGTCCTTCAGCGTAGTGACTGCATGCCATTAATTAACGCTCTGGGCGTTTACATGAAAAATATACTATGCACCGCAAGCTAATTATGAAGTTTACTCAGTTAAAAAATATGGCAAACAACCAATAGCCCTCGTGAGATAGAACAACCGACGCGAGGAGGGAGAAGGAGAGGGTTGGAAAAATCGTCATTTCAAATTCGCTGAAGATTAAAAACACCACCCAAAGGAATAAATTATAGAAAGATCTAGAATATCGGGTTTCAAAAGCACCTGAAAATGCTCTGGTATAGGCTAATTCGCGGAAAACTCGAGTCTCAAAATTTTGCAGGTTCTCCGTTTGCGCCCCATATATGACATGCTCGGTACACAGACCAAAGTGATATTCTTTTTTTAACCAGGTATTCTCGTTTTGCAAAGATGCATGAAAAGACCGCTGCTACGGGACTTCTTTTCACGATCTTCTCTCTTGGTCTGATCCGCAAAGCAGCAACTACAGATCAGTGTAACGGACCTCGCCAGATACCCATGCAGGGCAAGATGCTGAAGGGACACATCTATGAAACCCGATGGGTACGATCCGGGTATGCGGAGTGCTTGTTTATATGCAGAGAGGAAAAAGTCTGCCAAAGCTTCAACTTTGTGGCTAATGAAAGCAAGTGTGAGTTCAATAATCGCACAAAGGAAGCCTGCAGTCCTGAGGATTTTGTTCCCGACCTTCATCGTCTTTATGTCAAACTTGACGTCAGTAGAGGTAAAGAACTTTGAAACTGTTTTAAACGGTATACATCCGCTTTTTAAGCATTTATCACCTCGAAACAACTTTGCTTCACTTTCAGTTAGATTTTTAGTTACTTTGTTTGCTTTAAAGGGGCTATATCACAAAGAAAATTGCTGTTTTAAGTCAATTCTGTGCTGAAGTCATTACTTAGTGCCTTTAACCTTAAACAAAATGCTTCTGTAGAGTAACGAGGAAGATATCAAACAAATTTCATCAACATAATTTTTTTCATGATTTTTGCAGGCACAGCATTACAATTTGAAAAAAATGGCTCATTTTTTTTTCAATTCAGTTCAATCCATATTCATCCTCGCCATCAGCAGTAACGGACACCAGGAAACAGTTTCAATGCGTATAAAATACACGCTTAAATACCAAAACTGGGCTATTATTTTTGGAATTTAATTGATCCAAGTATATGTTGTAGCATTTTATAACGATGACAAAAAGCTTGACGTAGCTCTTTTTAGTTCTGTTTTGATGCCAACAGTGAATCCATAGAAAGGTGATAATTTGTACATGTCACACAAGGCCACACCTAACGAATTGACGAGAGTCCGATTACTTGCAGACAAATTAGAAAACAAAATTAAATAGTTTTAAAGTCCCTTTATTGCGTATAGGATTAGCCTGTAACCAGCGTGTCAGTCTCGCGCGTCTTACGTTACCATCTCCTTTCCACTCCAAACACCTGCTTTTCAGGCTATACGGGATTTAATTTCGTTTTGTCATGCCAAAAAAGAGATATTTCCTCGGGTGGTGTTGTCAGTTTTAAAAAAACGACCTACGCTTGTTCCTGTCAAAGGTTTTCTGAAGTTGTAAGGTTAAATTAACCTATATTTACGCAGCAACAAACATTCAACGTTTCACTGTGGCTGAGCGCCTCTCTGGAAGTGACATTGCTGATTACATACAAAATCACGGAAGAACAGGAGTCTTGTATTGCGAAGGTCGAGTGTAGGGAATTGAAAACGATCTTTTTGGGATAAAAAAACATGTCAAACTGAAACACCTTAACAAAAAATACCCGCAGACAATAGACATTTTAAAAAAGAACTGAACCAAAAAATATAATGATCTGTACATTGGTTCAACGTGACATCCTGTATGGTCTACATTGTAGTCAGACTGGCAACCATAACCCAGACATGATTCATGAAGACTTGTTACATTTAGCCCTTAACTGAATAAAGGATTGCTTAAGGTACAATTTCAGCATTGATACCCAACTTCCTTCGCCATCTTTGAAATTACCCAGAAGATACTGGTAACTCTTGTCTTCCCAGGGCCCTCTCGCTCAGCCTGTTGTCCTCGATATGCATTCTGGGTAATTTTCAAGATGGACGGGAAAACTTCAGAAGAAAAGGAGGAGAACTCGTGCAAAACTTTTGATGTTAAATCGAGAAGTTTCAAAATGTATCACATGCAGGTAGGCTAAGCTAAAGCCTTTTACCCTTGCAACGTTAACTCTATAAAAGCCTTGTTGATCCCAGGCCACTGGCAAGTTTTAGGTAGGAAGCTTCAATGTGGCGTACGTGACATGAAAACACGCACAAAACGCCTGAGCCGTTGATCATTTTGTAAAAATCGAAGCAGGAAAGATTCATCAGTGACAACTCTTAAGAGTTTGAAAGACAAAGCCGATGGTGGAGAGTGTTTTCTTGTTAATCAAGTTAAATAAGGTATAGTCCTCTGCACAACTATGAACACTTTCTGACACTTTGTAAAAAATAAGTAAGCCTGAACAGAAAATATGGTCATTTATTTTTTTGCGGTTTTGCTAGGCTGAGAATGATAAAGAGTTTACCATCAAGTTAACTTGATCCTCATTTCTTTTGTAGAAATCAAGGTGTCTCTCACAGGATTGTCCAAGTTTAAGGAGGGAATTTCTAAAATACGGGAACTGCTGTCTTTGCGAAAAGGCATCGGCCTTCATTTGCAAGAAATTAAAAATAGATTATCCCAGGAAACGAAAAGGCAATCATTTCTGGCAATGAAAACAAACATTTGATCCTGCCAAGTTTCAGCTCAAACGGATAAAAACTGAAAGAGCAGTTTAGTAGTGGCGCGATTTGACCTCTTGCCAGCCCGGGGTGATTGTCCCTATGATGTCTTTTTGTGAAGAAACGAGAACGGTGATCCCTCTTTTTTATTATTAGCGTTTTAAATCGTTGTGGCTACAAGAAAAATATATTTTAAGGAGAAAAATCTCGATAGTAGAAGCTGTATCATTATTTTGATCTGAAATTCGTGAAACTCTGTGGCATTTGGAGCTACAGGCGGAAGTATGTCAAAATGCCTGTTTCTCCTACATTTTTTGCGAGATCGGGTCAGATTTGAGGTGACTTTATTGAAAAGTTAGAGCTCAGACAAACAAGCGGGCTCTAGGTTTTAGATAGACTTGCCTACAAGTCGAGTTCAAATTTGTTCACGAGCGCGAAGCGCGAGCGGTAGATTTTTCATGTTTTCTGCGGCAAAAGCATGGATAACAGCGAGCGAGAGTGAGAGCTTCGCGTTGGGGCCGGAAATGACTTTGAGAAAGTCTAGATTTTAGAAGATTCACAGTTTTTACGAAATAACATGAATTTTTGGCGATTGTTTAAGTTACGAACATTTTGCGCACAACTTGTAATCGAAAAAACAACAACAACAACAACAACAATTAGAATTAAAGGCGCGCAGTCTGAAAACAAGCACGGTGACCCTATCTTTTATTAGTACCACAAGAATTACACTATAAGATAAATAGGTATTAGGGCAAAACCCAATTAAAGGAGTGTAAGCGACTGGCTAACTGACAGCTCAGGCTTTTTTAAGAAGACTTGATATGAATTTTTGGTGGTTGTTCAAGATTCGAACATTTTGCGCGCAACTAGGAGAAAAAACGCTAGCCCTTAGAAATACTGGCACACGTAGAGAAAACAAGCACGGGTGACCTCATATTTTTTTTCCAGTTTTTATATAGTCAATATCCTACAATAATATGGCACTACAAGAATTACGCTATGAGATAAATAGTTGTCAGGGCAACCCCAGTTAAAGGAGCTTAAGCGACTGGCGAACCCTGATCGTCAATGAGTTAGAGAACTCCAAATATTTGGCTTTAAATGTGGCAACGTTCTGTAATTGTAATTTTTGTACTGTGAACTAAACATCTGTTTTTAAAGCAACAATTCAGTTAACGCGTCGGTAAGATGCAGAAGCCTAAATGTGTTGAGTGCGTTTACAACTTACTATGGTGTTCTCTTAACTAAAAGCGACGTCAGAATACGATAAATTTTTAAAATCGTTGTTTATTATAAGCGTCAATTTATGCAACACTTGTCACGTCCGTAGAGACGAAGCCGCATGTCAGTAAGATACAAGTTTTAAAATGCCATTTTTTAGTGAACATTACATGATGTCCGTAAATCCTTACGTACATTCACCTATCTCGGGGTCTAAAAGGGGATTCTCGGAATCAGAGATTTGACCAAAATACATGCACTGCGTAGATTCTGGCAAACATTGAGACATTAAATGTTTGATAAGCCATTAGTGAATTATTTGCACTGTAAAGTAGCAATACGTGTTCCCCTGTCAAACGGCTAACAGGTTCTTGATGATCGAATCTAGTAGATTCCTCCCCTTTTCAGCCACTTGCAGGGTTCGCTTAACACTTTACCGTGTTCCCGAAACCGAGCGGAAGAAATAACCCGTGGAATATTACTTGCCCTGAAACATCGCTGAAAACACCATCGACAGCAATCCAGAAGGTTAGTAATCTAGTAATCTTGAAAATTGCAACGGGGTTTCCAAATGGAAAAGGAGAAATAAAATGGTCGGGCTTCAATGAATTAAAGGAACCTATTCAGTTTATCAAACATGCAGACAAAAAAGAAGTCACAGAATGCGCAAATTNAATGGTCGGGCTTCAATGAATTAAAGGAACCTATTCAGTTTATCAAACATGCAGACAAAAAAGAAGTCACAGAATGCGCAAATTATAAGAGAAAGTAAAGTAAAAGTTGCTCCTATTCAGGATATCAGCCATCACTGAACTTTCCATAAAAATGTTACCAAAGTGACTTGCCCAACTAACTTTCTTAAGCCAGGACAATTCCAACTCTCTCATGCTTTACCCTGATTTCTGCTAAACTTATACAGTCTCATGATGCTGCTTACAAAATTTTTTTGAGTAAACCAAAATTTCCCTAACATGAAGATTTCCTCCAATCGAATGGTTTGCTTTGTATTTTAGCCATAACAATCTCGGTTTCTTTTAATTCCCTAACAATATCATTCTTTTATGACTAAAAACGGTTATTATCATGACAATGTGTGGAACTGACAGGCACGAAGGAGGAAAAGGATAGACCAAAAAAGTGAGATGAATAATTAGAATAGAACGAAACTAATAATGGGAAGGGCAAGTATCGGGATAAATAGGACGCACTGTGGTCGTTTTTAATTGGGTTGGGGGAGGTTTTTTTCGGGTCACGGGAATCGAAAGGACAAGTTAAATAAAAAGGACGCAGGGAAGAAAGACGTCACTGAAAACACCCACTTCGTCCTGCATGCCATAAATTAACGTTCTGGGCGTTTTACATGAAAAATATACCATGCACAGCAAGCTAATTAATGAAATTTATCCAGTTAAAAAATATGGCAAACAACGATTACCGGCCCTCTTAAGATAGAATATCGTACGCGAGGAGAGGGCTACAAACATCTTCCAGCTTATCACGTATTGAGGACCTGAAAACAGTAGAAAACACGTCTCCTAGAGAGAGTTATACATTGAAAGGCTTTTTTTGCAGTCTAACTGTTTCTAGTAGCGATTATGATAACTCTTCCCGGCTAATAAGGTGCTAGTTTTGAAACTCACCAAAGTCTCCTGGTGTAGAATGATCATTTAAGGCCGAAATGGTCCCTTTGATATCTTTTTGCGAAGAAACTACTACAGTACTACAATTTAAGCGCGCGCAGCGGAGACCCATACAAAAAA